CGTGGGAACGGCGTTTTATTCATAAATGCCGTGATAATTTTTCACGACAATTATCGTGCTGCGGCAATTACTGAAAACGGTTTACAGTGTGTTAATGCGATTATCAACTACGAGGTTGTAGTATGGTGAAGGTTGTTAAAAGGATTTCAGGAGATACCAGGTAACCCAAGCACCTTTTGTCGCCGAATATACAAGCGAACGAACATGCTTGCGAGGTAAGGAAAACCACCTCCTGCTTCAGACATCCTGCGTTAAGGCAAACATCACAAATTGTTAAAATAATCAAACGCAATCTACAAAGAAAAAAGACATGAGATATGAAACGATAAAACAAAGGACGTAAACGAAGTCGATGTACGGCGACGAGTTCGATTTGACCCCCTAAATCATTTTCGCGAATCGACCTTCCGCAACTCCGTAATAATTATGCTATCATTATTACCAGACAACACGGTATTTTATCTAGATAATTGCAAAATTTAATATATCGCAATTAGTGATCTATTAATATATTAATACTGTAATAGCATATATTGATTAAGCGAAGAAAGAATTAGGAGACAACATGATTGGATATGTACGATGCAGTTTTTCTTGATTCTCTTTTTCTTCTTACTTTTAAGATAATATTTTGTACGAACCATAGTAATTTTGATAATTGGGTAAAATGTTATTACTTAAAACCGTGATGATACAGAAAAAATCCGAAATATCAACCAACGACCCAGGATATAATTATTGCCATTCAATTATCATATTTTATACGCGTATCTCTTGCAATTATCTTTGCCGTTGTTGTATCAAAGTATCGTACAAAGAGTCGCGGAGGGCCGTATAAAAGCGGTACCAACGATTATGATTTCGAGTACATGTTGATAAGTTGATCGCCGATTCTCAAACTATTCCGCAATAGAACGCGGACGTGATGCGTGGGCGAAAGCGTCGATCGATCGTGCAACGGCGATTTTAATGAAGAGCAGACTGAGCATCAAAGGCAACCGCGGCGATAATAATTTATTCCAGTATCGATACGCACACGGGGATAGAGGGAGAGAAGGATCATCCCGCGCGAGAAGATTAAAATTCTCTGGAAACCGGGTTCTATCTATCTCTCTCTTCCTCCTTCTCTCGTTCCGACGCAAATGAGCATCGAGAGATTTCAATAGCGCTTGTAAATCGGACATGGGTATTACGAATTTTTCGTTAAACCTTTATCCCTTCATTAATGAGAAAAATATGGCGGATCCTATCATCTGTCCTTCCCCGAGCGCATATCAATTTGGAAAAAATCACCGTGATGGTGACGACGACAGAGAGAAAGAGAAGCAGGAAAACGATCGAGATTTATCGATACACTCGGAAGGTTTCGGTCTCTAAATATGATCAGTGTGAATTCAATATTTTGTCAAAGTATATATTTCTGAAACAAATTAATATCTTTTAATGTTATAATTGATATTCAATTTCTCCCCTTACAAAATACGATCCACTTATTATAGAAATCTTTCAAATATTGTCGAAACATTCATAAGTACATATATTAGTTTTACTTTGTAGGTTATAGAACATTTCTACCGATTCGCGACATCTATATCAAAAATATAACAGAATTAATTAATGTAATTAATTAATATAACTCACTGAGATTTGTTGTCCGGTGGTATTGTTATAATGGATATAATGAATAGCCACTTTCCGGACGAAAGCAATACAGATTAATTGCGTTGATATTAATTTATATAATTGATCAAAAATAATCTTTATTTTTTTCTGAATAAAATCTTTCAATATTAATCAAACTTTGTAATTACGGTTTGTGAAATTATTTCCAAACAAACAAAACCAAAAAGTACACAATTAATTGTAAAATTTTTTCTCTCCGATATAACTTCACTTGCATCTCCTCTTTCTCTTATTCTCTGTCTTTCAAATCGCATATTTCTCGATCGATACTTCGCCTCAACACATCGTCCTTCATTAAACGATATGCAATAACATAATAACGGCCCGTATTCATATCCTTTTCGTTACTATATTTAACGCTAAACGCAAGTTCGCTTTATCTAACAAAAACATCATATCACCGTGTAATCGCGAGTCGAGTCGAGTCAAACATCAGATAGATACATCTTGCGCCAACTCTCTGTTATGAATACGGGCTGATAACGGGATGATAAACGATAAAAGGCAGGAGTCTGAAGAGTACTTTTTCAATGAATAGACAGGTCCGTCTATATCCTCATTATAGGACAGAGACTGTTCCACGGGAGTAAAAACGGCGAATGTAAACGACGGTACGATCGAAAACACGGGAGAGGATCGCAAAGGATCGTCTGCAAAATAGTTGGACTGAATTTTGTATCGCAAGTCCGATACGTTTACATATCGTATCATAGTATCCTGTGCTCGGATAATACGAGAGCGATTTCTAATTATCATCGAATGTAGAGATGAAAAACGCGAAAATCGAGAACACGTCGGCTGCGAAAATATTTTTCCGTGGAACAGTCGGACAGTCTATCGCGCGATCTACGCGATCGAGATCAAAGGACGAAAGAGTCCGAGAATGAACCGTTACGTAACTAGGTGAATGCGTATCTCCCCTGCCTTGTACACGTCTACTCGTGGAAGCATGACGAGTTTACGATAGGCAGAGGCTCGCGATCTTATTCAATTGTTCATTCATATCGCATATATACGACGTTGGAGAAAATCCCGTCTATATTTCATATTTCACTTTCGCTTCCCGACGTCCCCAGTTACGCTTCTCGGACTCTCGAAATGACACCCGGAGATCGAACGCTACTGTCGCCGAATCACCTCGCCTCCTTTCTTTTTTGTAAGTCTTCCTCGCTTTGGGGAAATTACGTATTTACGATCTTGGCGAACTCGCGAAACTTTTGTTCCCCGCGTCTTTTTTCCGCGGGACAACAAGTACGCGATCGACCTCCGAGCGAAGTGAGGAATGCGCGCGAATGTAGTCCGCGACTGCGGCGGCGAGAGGAACGAGACGGATTCTCGCGAGGACCGTGATAGCGAAGCTATCGCTGATAACGCGACTCTTCCTAGCAGATCCCTCGCGAGACGCGCTCTTCAATGGTCCAGCAATTGGCCAGTTCGCTCGACCATGTGAAGTGGTCCGTCACCGACCTCGTTTCACTCGCTCTGGTTCTTCTACCCCCCCCCCCCCCCCCTCTTTTGCACCCGATCTTAACCTATGCTCCATTTTGTCGACTTGTGGGTGAAAAAAAAAAGATGTGTAGGAAATAGGACGCGGCGAGGAAACGACGCTCTTTAGATTCCTTCGCAAGGGCGACGCTCGAGTCGAATACTCACGGGCGATACGCAGATCGGCTTTGTCCACGCTTGAAATTTATCACACGGGAACAGAGAATTGCTCAATTATATTCCGTCGATGGACGATTTCGCGACCGATCGATCACGCGCGTTTCCATCGCTCGTAGCGGACCTGTTCGGGACACGCTCGATGCATCCTTCGTGGTATGCGCCGAGATAGATCGGTTCGATAAATCCCATAGATCGCGCGGCGAGGTTCCGTCCAAGGTCATTCCATCGTCGGGCCGCGATCGGTGTATGCGCGCGCGCACGTCAGGAAGCATTTCTCGTTAGCGGCGCAAAACCTCACAGGTGTCACGCGCTGGAGACTCCCTGGAACTCCGTGGAACTCGCGCCGAGAAACGGCGGATCGCGCGATAACCGGCAAAATGACAAGCTCGATCTACCATCGGCCGCGTCGATCCCGACGTCTCTTTTAATTGGGCATCGCTCGTTACTTCCCGTTTTTTTTTCTAAGCGCTTGCGAAGGATCGGACGGCGTCTCACGCGAGCAGAGCTGAACGTTATCTTATATTGCAAGCTTATACGGTCGCTTTTGAAAAACGATATATACAGATCTGTAGTGCGTGTTTCGTAACGGGGAAAAAAGAGGCAAACGTATAATACGACGTCTCGATGCCAAGATAACGCTGATAAAAAATTTTAATCATTAGAGATATCGTCTTTTCGGCAAAGACTTAAAAAATATTTTCCAAGCTCCTCTTGAGATATCCTTTCTCGTAGTTCTATGCCTCATTAAAGGATAATTGAGGTCAACTGGCGATACGTTCGTCGTATCTCTTTCTCCTTCTCTCTCTCTCTCTCTCTCTCTCTCTCTCTCTCTCTCTCTCTCTCTCTCTTTCTCTCAGTCGGCAAGAATTTCTGATAATTATCTCCGGTAATTTTCGCAATTGCAAGAATGTAAAGGATCCGCTTTTCACTTCGTCGAACATTCGCCTTGTTAAAAATTGCATTTGCCCGTGGGAGAATTAATTAGTCCTCCGATAATTACGTTCGGCAATTTCTCGATTATGTATGTACCTTTATACCGCGACTGCGAGCGCAAATAATCCTTCCCCGCATATTTTGCGCGTAATTCTCCCGATTGTGGACCGTGCTGTACGGTATTGGCCGACGCGAAATGTGCAAATATTCTTACAGAGAAATCAAATTTTCAACGAAAGAACACGTGTACGTATATGAGCCGTTACGCGTTCAGTAATTCGTTTTGGCACATACACACACACAGAGAGAGAAAGAGAGAGAGAGAGAGAGAGAGAGAGAGAGAGAGAGAGACGGACACGGTGTTCATTCCCAAGTAAAATAGAAACGTGGAGAAAAAGAAAAGAGAGAGCATTGGACGCACGAGAAACTGGATTACGTAACGCCGTCCTTCAATCCTACGACACCGTGCGTCTCTTTGGAGCTCTCTTCGTTTTCCGATCGAACGCGCACGTTGTACTTATCAATCCGGAAACTATCTCGGCCAGCTCTGCTTGCGGCATACCTCGCAGAAGGAGACGGGGATCGTAGGGATATGCATATGTATGTACATTTGTATGTATGCACGTATGTGCGTGGCAGCAAATCGAACGAAGTCAGTCACAGCAAATGTACGTATATTATGTACAGAAAAGCGGTGTTACTACGCGTGCGGTACTCACTCGCTGTTCAGCACGCGGAACGACTTGGGCGACATGCAGTTGACGCTCCAGTCGGTGTTCCCGTGCTCGTTGCATATCGTGATTGAGAACCTGCCGTAGTTCGCCCGTATCAGGTGGATCAGCTTCCCCTCGCCGCACTCGATCTCCAGCGTCTTGCCCTCGCACGCGTACGCGGTGTCGTACCTCTCTGCAATTAGAAGGAAAGGAAATTACTTTATTATCCATATATCTAGCAAATAGCAATTGATACTCTTAACAAATCTTTTTGTCGTCCAAACAAATTTTTTCGCTGCCCAAATAAGTTTTTCTTTGCTGTTTCCATAGTAACCAACAATTTGCTGCGACAGCAAAATGTTTTCTCCATGCAGGTTTCACTGATGGAAACAGTCGCTATTGACAGGCTTCTTCAACGAAATTTTGCTGATTCGCAGTACTTTGCTGTACTTGTAACTACGATCATCAATGATTATTGACTCAATGATAATACACTGATTGTACTTGAGAAAGCATTCGGTCGAAGACCGAACGGAGTCTCGGAACTTGAACTTCGCGATACTTTCTTCGCGAATGTCGCAGTGATGCGCGCACGCACGCACGCAACGTTGCAGCAGCAACGGCGGCGGCAACGATTGACGTTTCGAATACAGAGAAAGAGAGAGAGAGAGAGAGAGAGAGATTATACGCGCGCGGCCGAACCTCTCGCACACATGACGTCCGTTTCAGCCGGATCCGCATCCGGAAAGCCTCTGCGTGTGCGAGAATCCTGGAGGATAGATGCGTTATCGCTGACGGGATTACGTCGCTGTTGCGCGGTATTTAATCTATTCGCGCGGCCGCCTTCTTGCAATTCCGCGCGTTCCGCGGGGCCAGCGCGCTGGGAAGGATTTCTATTTCGAAAAAAAGCAATTTTGCATTCGGATTATATATTTCGGATGGAAGGAGTTTATACTTTGCTTTCCCCGCGGGGAGATTCCGCGTGGGCGCACCACTTTCGAAATATCGCGATGAAAAATATTGCGCGAAGCGATGGAATTCGGGCGTTCTTTCAACGGGACGTTAATCGGCGTGTTTCCACGAGGAAAATCCATCCTTCGAGTTCCCCGATCTTCTCAGTTGTCTCGAAGTTCGAAGATCGCTGGTTACTTTCCGCAACCCCGCCTCTCACGACCCAGTCTCCGACAGACGGGACGAATCGATTAATCGGCACTTAAGCTCCGGTTCACTCCGTGTAACGTACGTCCGTCGTGACGTCGTGACGTTAATTCCGGGCACGACGTGGCTGATCGAAACAAACGATGATCTCCATTCGCAGCGGGGCGAGAACGCGTTTTCCGAAGTGGTTGGTGGCTGAGAGTCCAACTCCCCAACAAAAACGTTTATTAACGCGCGACGCATAATATCCCGGCGCACAAATGTAAACGTTTCGACACGGAATCCGCGGGTAAACCCGCCGCCGCTGTGTGTGAATTCACCGGCGCCGCGGCATTTCCGCGGAAAGTCCTAACCGCGGACTAAACCGGCATTGTGGCGCGTCGGTACGGAACTAATGAACTCACGACGAGGCTTTCACGGACGGAGTTATTACACCTCCCCCCCCCCCCCC